CGCGCCACCATGCCCAGCTAATTTTTTTTGTATTTTTAGTAGAGACGGGGTTTCACCATGTTGACCAGGATGGTCTCGATCTCTTGACCTCGTGATCCACCCGCCTCGGCCTCCCAAAGTGCTGGGATTACAGGCTTGAGCCACCGCACCCGGCTATTTTTATTTTTGAGGCAAAGTCTCACTCTGTTGCCCAAGCTGGAGTGCAGTGGCGCGATCTCGGCTCACTGCATCTTCTGCCTCCTGGGTTCAAGCAATTATCTTATCTCATCCTCGTGCGTATCCAGGACTACAGGCACATGCCACCATGCCCGGCAAATTTTTGTATTTTTAGTACAAATGGAGTTTCATCATATTGGTCAGGCTGGTCTCAAACTCCTGACCTCAGGTGATCCACCTGCCTTGGCTTCCCAAAGTGCTGGGATTACAGGGGTGAGCCACTGCACCTTGTCTTATTATTATTTTTTGAGATGGAGTTTCACTCTTGTTGCCCAGGCTGGCGTGCAACGACACAACCTTGGCTCTTTGCAACTCCACCTCCTGTGTTCAAGTGATTCTGCTGCCTCAGCCTCCCAACAAGCTGGGATTACAGGCATGTGCCACCATGCCCGGCTAGTTTTGTATTTTTAGTAGAGATGGGGTTTCACCATGTTGGCCAGACTGGTCTCAAACTCCTGACCTCAGGTGATCCACCGGCCTTGGCCTCTCAAAGTGCTGAGATTACAGGCATGAGCCACTGCGCTCAGCCTGAACTTTTTTTTATCATTATCTTTATCATTATCTCATTTCACTGATATCCTCATGTAAAGTAAATATTTTAATTTGCAAAATTAAAACAATTTAATACTTTGTATATATCTTTATATATATATATATATATATATATATATATATATATATATATATGAAAAAAAAAACTGTAGGAAAAAAATGACCCAACACTGAGATTTTAAAAGTCACAAACAGGAATACAGGGGGAAAAAAAATTAATGTTTCCGCCGGGCGCGGTGGCTCAAGCCTGTAATCCCAGCACTTTGGGAGGCCGAGGCGGGTGGATCACGAGAGATCCAGACCATCCTGGTCAACATGGTGAAATCCCGTCTCTACTAAAAATACAAAAAATTAGCTGGGCATGGTGGCACGTGCCCGTAATCCCAGCTACTCAGGAGGCTGAGGCAGGAGAATTGCCTGAACCCAGGAGGCGGAGGTTGCGGTGAGCCGAGATCGTGCCATTGCACTCCAGCCTGGGTAACAAGAGCAAAACTCCATCTCAAAAAAAAAAAAAAAAAAAAAAAAAAAAAAAAAAAAAAAAAAAAAAAAATTAATGTTTCCATGTTACAGAAAGTTTCATATTTACATTATCAAGTGAAATAAAGAGATTTCTAAAGCAAGAGTCTAGAATTCTAAGGCCTTTTAGAGAAAGATAGGCAAGTCAAATAAATGGATGAGATTGAGGAGTACGATGATACTAGGGCTGGGTATGGTGGGTTGTACCTATGGTCCCAGCTACTTGAGAGGCTAAGGCAGGAGAATCACTTGAGCCCAGGAGTTTGAGGCCAGCCTGGGTAACATAGCAAGATCCCATTTCAAAAAAAAAACAAAAAACAAAAAACAAAAAACAGATAAAGTTAATAAGGAGTGTTAGAGATTATAGAAATTAGGACAGTATTCACTTGCCTTAAAGTATTTGAATTTGAATTTCCTTAATAGATTGTTCTGTTTGAGGACCGTGTTGCAATTTCTTGCTCCCTGAATTTCCTGGTCTGTTCTCCTTTCCCAGGTTAAACACCATTGTTGGCCGAGTGCAGTGTGGCTTATGTCTGTAATCCCAGCACTTTGGGAGGCCGAGGTGGGAAGATCATGAGGTCAGGAGTTTGAGACCGGCCTGGCCAACATGGTGAAACCCCCTCCTTACTAAAAATACAAAAATTAGCCAGGTATGGTGGTGCATACCTGTAGTCTCAGCTATTTGGGAGGCTGAGGCACAAGAATTGCTTGAACCCAGGAGCTGGAGGTTGAAGTGAACTGAGATTGTGCCACTGCACTCCAGCCTGGGTGACAGAATGAGGATCCATCTTAAAAAAAAAAAAAAAAAAAAAAAAGATTCCACTTACATGACATATCCAGAGTAGTCAAATTAATAGAAACGAAAAGTAGAATGATAGTTTCCAGTAGCTGGAGTAGGAGGAAATGAGAATTTGTTGCTTAATGGGTGTAGAGTTTCAGTTTTGCAAGATGAAAAAGTTCAAGAGATGGGTCGTACAACAAAATGAATATACTTAACACTACTAAACTGTCTACTTAAAAATGGTTAAGATGTAAAATTTTATCTTGTGTATGTGTATATTAATATCTGTGTATTGTATGTGTATGAATTATGCTATAATAAAAGTAAAATAAATAATGCAAAAATCTAGTAATCATAATTGTTTTATAATCAGATATTACTGCAATTCTGTTTTGCTATCTGTTGTTTCGGCTGGTTCTCACAGTGCCTTGTTCTTTATATGCTTGGTTATTTTTCACTCTGTACTGGTCATTGTCCCTGAAAAACTACTGATGAAGATTCTTAGAGGATGAAGACCAGCATAAAAGTCAATCCTCCAGAGAGGATCTGAATTTGCTTCTGCAGGCACTTAGACACACTTTCAGTTCAGGACTACTTTAAACTAGGTTTATAACTTAAAAAAAAAAATACTTCATCCAATTTGGGCTATGAATCCACACACACACACACACACACACACACACACACACACACGCACACGCACACAGAGCCAGCTATGATTACAATGTCCTTTTCTTGGAGTTTTCTGGCAGAAAGATGTAGGGGAGGTTTACTCCTGATTCACCTTTTCCCTAATCACAGGCCTTTGGGGGTGCTCACAACTAATATAGGAAACACTCCTCATCTTGGTGGACCCTGGGCTTTGATTTCATTCCTCTTTACCCTGCATGGTTGTCATAATGAAATTCAATTTTGCCTAGACTGGCAAATAACCTCAGAGCAAAATTTACTTCCTCCCACTTGGGCAGCACTTCTAAACTTTATTTTTTAATTAATTATGTATTTATTTATTTTCAGACAGAGTCTCGCTCTGTCACCCAGGCTGCAGTGTAGTGGCCTGATCTGGGCTCACTGCAACCTCCGCCTCCTGGGTTCAAGCAATTCTCTTGCCTCAGCCTCCTGAGTAGCTGGGATTACAGGCACGTGCTGCCACACCCGGCTAATTTTTGTATTTTTAGTAGAGATGGGGTTTCACCACGTTGGCCAGGCTGGTCTTGAACTCCTGAGTTCAGGTGATCCATCCGCCTCAGCCTTCAAAAGTGCTGGGATTACGGGTGTGAGCCACCACACCTGGCCTTATACTTTATATTTTTAAACTATTTTATCCAGTATTTTTTTGTGTCAGGACCCAAATAATCTAACCAGTCAGAAGTCCCTCTACTTTATTTCCTGTTTCATTGACTTCTGCTCTTCTATTTATTTTCTTCCTACTTTTGTATTGTTCTTATTTTCCCTCTGACTTCTTGAGTTGAATACTTAGCTCCTTATTACATTTTCTTTTCTATTGTAAGGCTAGTCTATCCTAAAGCTCTAAATTTCCTTTAAAGTACATCTTTCATTGTAATCCATATTTTGATATGCAGCAGAGGAGTGACTGCCCAAAGCCAGTTGGTGTCCTCCTGTTTCTATCAACTCCACCCCAACAGGATTCTTGTGATACCCTGGTTATATTCTGAAACATCTGCATTCAGGTCTGAAAAAGTACAGGCAGTTTTCACCATCTGGGTAGCAATGGTAGCCCAAGGCAATGCTAGGCGAGTTAACAGCATAATTTTTTTTTTTTTGATACAGGGTCTTGCTTTTGTCACTTAGGCCAGAGTGCAGTGGCGTGATCTTGGCTCACTGCAATCTTGATTTCCTGGACTCAAGTGATCCTCCTACCTCATTCTCCCAAGCAGCTAAAACTACAGGCATGCGCCACCAAACCGTAGACATGTATCTCATCTTTGAGCAGAAGTACCTAGGGAATGGCAATTGCACTGAGATCGCACCAAAGTACAAGGGTTCAAGTGACATCATCAATAACTTCATCACCTGCTGGAGTTGGAAAATCATCCTCTTCCTATCTTTTATCACCATCTTCATCAGCTGCTTCCTCCTGTACTCAGTGTATGGTCTTGAACTGCTGGACTCAAGCAATCCTCACGCCTCAGCCTCCCAAAATGCTGGGATTACAGGCATGAGCCACTGTGCCCAGCTAAGAGCATAATTTAAACCATCTTTTCCTAACTCAGTTTTTTCCAACACTAGCTTCGTATGAAAATTACTAGGGAGTTTTGAAAAATACCGTCGTCTGTGTCCCACCCAGAGAATGTTGTGATTGGTCTGGGAGGTGGGGCCTGGACTTGGATACTTCTGGTGATTCTAACGTGAAGCCGGGTTGAGAACCACTGCTGTAATTGTATCTGGTCATTGCCACCAACTTGAGTGAATCCTTTCTCTTCCCCACCCCCAGTCCATTTTAAACAGCCTCTGTCTTCCCAAGGCTGTAATTTCCTGGTTTCCATATTTCTTTTCTTTTCTTTTTTTTTTTGAGACAGAGTTTCGCTCTTGTTACCCAGGCTGGAGTGCAATGGCAGGATCTTGGCTCACCGCAACCTCCGCCTCCTGGGTTTAGGCAATTCTCCTGCCTCAGCCTCCTGAGTAGCTGGGATTACAGGCACGTGCCACCACGCCCAGCTAATTTTTTGTATTTTTAGTAGAGACGGGGTTTCACTACGTTGACTGGGATGGTCTCGATCTCTTGACCTCGTGATCCACCCGCCTCGGCCTCCCAAAGTGCTGGGATTACAGGCTTGAGCCACCGTGCCCGGCCTGGTTTCCATATTTCTGTCTCTATTTCTCCAAGGTGGATTTGGGGAAGGAGGCAGAAACCCTGGTAATTTACCATGTTGGCAGGAACTAGAATTCTCCCTCGTGTTGTTTGTCTTCACAGGAGGTCTCGGGATGAAACAGCAGCGGTGGTGTGGAATGACTGCCAAAATGGGCTCTGTGTTGTCAGGGGTCTTCACCATCCTGGCCGTAGACATGTATCTCATCTTTGAGCAGAAGTACCTAGGGAATGGCAATTGCACTGAGATCGCACCAAAGTACAAGGGTTCAAGTGACATCATCAATAACTTCATCACCTGCTGGAGTTGGAAAATCGTCCTCTTCCTATCTTTTATCACCATCTTCATCAGCTGCTTCCTCCTGTACTCAGTGTATGCCCAGATCTTCAGGGGCCTGGTCATCTACATTGTCTGGATTTTTTTCTATGAAGCTGTAAACGTCGCAATACAAATCCTCACTAACATCGACCTCAGCATTGAAGAGGTCAGAGTCATGCGCTGGTTTGGCTTGGTGTGTCGTACACTCCTGCACTGTTTCTGGATGTTCTTCGTCATCACCTATGCCCACATAACCTACAAAAACCAGAGCCAGGGAAGTATAATTTCATACAAGAGACGAATTTCTATGGTGGAGTCTATGCACAACAGAAATAAAAGATTATCAGGTTTTACTGGGCTTGGGGGCTTACACCTGGAATCCCAGCACTTTGGGAGGCCGAGGTGGGTGGATCACCTGAAGTCAGAGGTTTAAGACCAGCCTGGCCAACATGGCGAAAACCTGTCTCTACTAAAAAAAAATACAAAACTTAGTCAGGCATGGTGGCATGCACCTGTAATCCCAGCTACTTAGGAGGCTAAGACAGGAGAATCGCTTGAACCTGGAGGTAGAGGTTGCAGTGAGCCAATATTGCGCCTGAGTGACAGAATGAGACTCTGTCTCCAAAACAAATTAAAAAATAAATAAAAATTAACAGCTTTATCCACCACTATAAGCAATAATGTTGGCCCTTTTCTTTCCCCTGAGAGGTAGGTCTCTTAGGTTTCCAGGGAAGTTCTGCTTCCTTCCCACACCCCACTTCTGCTTAGCAGTCCTGAAAGTAATACTGCCACTCTTTCAGGAGAACATGAAGAGAAAATGTGATTATAATCAGAACTGGAACATCCTGCTTATTGAAGGTGTTCGGTTAAAGAATATTGTGATTTATCAAACCTTCTGCGAATTCCACCTTCCTTATTTGGTCAGTACCACCTTATTGGTCAAAATGAGTGGAGTAAAATGAAGCTGAATTGCAGTATGGCAATCCTTTTTTCTTGGTATCTTCGTTAGCCTTCAATCCATAACTCTTTAATTTAACCCTGGGATAAGCAAATCTGTATTTATACCTCATATTTTTGTAGCACAAAGGATACTGTTGGTCCTAGGGTGGGTTTGTGCTGTGATTTTCCCACTATGTCTTCTGTTTTATTCCAGATAGGGAAAATAATAAAAATATAGAGAAAATTTGTTCTTCAATTTCTGTCTTGAGTTTCCCCACCCTTCCCAAATTTGCCAAGGAGTATGAAAGGCAGGCACTTCCTTAATCAAAGGTACATGTTAAATATATTTCTGTATCTGCTGCTGTGCTGTACACTGTAGTGTGAACACTGTACTGAACATTGTGTATATACTGTATACAAAAATGTATAAGATACGAAGTCTGACTATGAGAATTTTGTAGTTTAGCGGAAGAAACTAAATTATTGCTTATGAATCAATTAGCTAGCCAATCATACAAGACAGTATATGATTACACACTATCACAAATCACCAGACATCACTTTGGTTTCAGGTTCAGAGACTGTCTGAAGCCCCCGTTTTTTTTTTTTTGAGACTGAATCTCTCTCTGTTGCCCAGACTGGAGTGCAATGGTGCAACCTCGGCTCACTGCAACCTCCACTTGCAGGGTTTAAGCAATTCTCCTGCTTCCGCCTACAGGCACGGACCACCACGCTTGGCTAATCTTTGTATTTTTTAGTAGAGATGGGGCTTCACCATGTTGGTCAGCCTGGTCTCGAACTCCTGACCTCAGGTGATCCACCTGCCTCAGCCTCCCTAAGTACTGGGATTACAGGTGTGAGCCACCCACTGCACCCAGCTGGAAGCACTTTAAACTGAGATGGAAGACAAACCAAGAATATGTCTGCTTCAAACATTAGACATTGCATTGAGTTTTTGTCTTGTTAATAGATTTCTTAAAGTATAATTGACATACAATAAAATACTGCACATATTTAAAGCATATAATTTAACAAGTTTTGACTATGTGTATCCCAGTGAAACCATCACCACAATTAAGTTCATAAATGTATATATCACCTTCCAGCTTCGGTGTATCCCTGACTCCTGACTCGGTCCACACCATCTCCACCATCACCAGGCACTGATTTGCTGTCACTATGTATTAGTTTGCATTTTCTAGAATTTTACGTAAACGGAATAATACAGCATGTACTCTGTTTCAGTCTGGCTTCTTTTACTCAGCATAATGGCTTTGAGATTCATCCATGTTGTATTGCGTATTGATAATTCATTCTTCTTCATTGCTGAGTGGTATGCCACGGCAGGAATGTACCACAGTTCATTTATTCATTTGCCCATTGAAGGACATCTGGTAGTTTGCAGTTTTTAGTAATTATTAATGAGAACACTATAAACATTTGTATACAAGACTTTGATAGATCTATGCTTTCATTTATCTTAGGTAAATATCATTTTAATTTTTTAAGATGCTGGCATTTTTTTTCCAGAGTGGCTATACCATTTTATATTTCCACTGGCAATATATGAAAATTCCAGTTCCTCTACCTCTTCACCAGCACTTAATACAGACAGTCATTTTTCATTAAAGCTAGTCTACTTTTTTTTTTTTTTTTTTTTTGAGACTGAGTCTCCCTCTATTACCCAGGGTGGAGTGCAGTGGCACAATCTTTGCTCACTGCAACCTCTGCCTCCTGAGTAGCTGGGATTACAGGGGTGAGCTACCATGCCCAGCTAGTTTTTCTGTATTTTTAGTAGAGATGGGATTTTATCATGTTGGCCAGCCTGGTCTCAAACTCCTGACCTCAGGTGATCTGCCTGCTTTGGCACCCCAAAGTGCTTGGATTACAGGCGTGTGCCACCATGCCTGGCTGAGCTATTCTAATAGTATATAGTATTATATCATTGTCGGGCAATCCTTCATGTGCTTACTCAGCACCCTTATATCTTCTTTGGTAAGGTATCTGTTCAAATCTTCTGCCCATTTCTAAAAATTAGGCTAGCCAAGTTTTTTTATTGTTGAGTTTTGGGAGTTCATTATATTTCCTGGACACAAATCTTTTATCAGATATATGATTTGTAAATATTATTTCCAGTTTGTGCCTTTTCTTTTCATTCTTTTTCATGTGTCCTTTGAAGAGCAGAGATTTTTAATTTCAATGAAGTCCAATTTATCAATTTGCTATTATTTTATTTATTTATTTATTTAGAGACAGAGTTTTGCTCTTGTTGCCCAGGCTGGAGTGCAATGGCGTGATCTCGGCTCACTGCAACCTCTGCCTCCCAGGTTCAAGTGATTGTCCTGCCTCAGCTTCCCGAATAGCTGGGGCCCCACCACGCCCAGCTAATTTTGTATTTTTAGTAGAGACCGGGTTTCTCCATGTTGGTCAGGTTGGTCTCGAACTCCTGACCTCAGGTGATCCGCCCGCCTCAGCCTCCCAAAAGGCTGAAATTACAGGCATGAGCCGCCGTGCCTGGCTATCCATTTGTTATTTTATGGACCATAATTTTGGTTATGATGTCTAAGGAATCTTTGCCTAATCCAAGATCACAAAAGTTTTCTCCTATTTTCTTCTAGAATTCATATTTTTCTGTTTTATATGTAGGTCTATAATCCATTTTGAGCTCTTTTTTATGTGTGTATGAGAGATATGGATCAAATTGCCCATTTTTGCTCTTGGATCTCCAATTATTTCCGCATCAGCTGTTGAAGAGATTATCCTTTCTCCACTGAATTGACTTTATAGATACATGTATACCCAGTTATTGACTCCATTCTGTTCCACTGATCTATTTGTCTCTCTTTATGCCAATGTCGTCCTGTTTTGATTATAATAAATGAGTCTTTAAATCACATTCCTCGATCTTATTTTAGCTACTCTAGGCTGTCTTAATCTGCACTGCCATAACAGAATACCCAAGACTGAGTAATTTACAATGAACAAAATCATGAACTCCTGGGCTCAAACAGTCCTCATGCCTCAGCCTCCCAAAGTGCTGGAGTTACAGGTGTGACCCACTGTGCCTGGTCCATTTATTTTTAAAATTTGTTTTATTTTATTTTTTGAGACAAGGTCTCTTTCTGTTATGCACACTGAAGTGCAGTGATATGATCTTGGCTTACCGCAATTTCCATCTCCTTGGTTTAAGCAATCCTCCCACCTCAGCCTTCTAAGTAGCTGGGATTACAGAAGTGTGCCACTATGCCTGGCTGGTTTTTTTTTTTTTTTTTTTTTTTCTTTTTTAGATGGAGTCTTGCTCTGTTGCCAAACTGGAGTGTACTGGTGCGATCTCAGCTCACTGCAACCTCTGCCACCCGGGTTCAAGCAATTCTCCTGCCTCAGCCTTCTGATAGCTGGGATTACAGGTGTGTACCACGACACCTGGCTATTTTTTGTATTTTTAGTAGAGACAGGGTTCCACCATGTTGACCAGGTCAGTCTCAAACTCCTGACCTCAAGCGATCTGACCACCTCAGCCTCCCAAAGTGCTAGGATTAGAGGCATGAGCCACCATGCCTGGTAGAAAAATTAATTAACTATTACTATTTTCTATACTATGTTTTATGACTTCCTACAATTATATGAAATATGTGTCACAAACACTGACATCTATCCAAGCCAGGGTTTAGGAATTATATTTTTTAAAAGATAAAGGCAGCTCACTCTACTTTTGAGGATTTTTATCTACTTGGTCAATGGATATCAAGAAGCTTCAAGTGACTAAAAACTCAAGAGAAGGAATAAAATATACCACACTGCAATACGAATGAGAATGCTTGATTTTGGCCAAACTAGGGTCGTTAGGGGTACTATACCCAACAAGTGTTGTAAATATTTTGTAGCAAACAATCTACACTGTGGCATATTCAGATAAATAAAATGTATATAAATAATTGATTTATAGTAATCCTGTAATCCAAATGGATTGTCTTCTCAAAGAGAGATTTGAATGTCTGATTTCATATGTTTTCCTTCTCAAAGAGGAGACATTTAAAACATTCTATTTGTGAATGCAAAGGTAAGTCAAAGAAACCACAATTGCTAGAGGAGTTTTTTTTTTTTTAAGGATGAGAGTGGGGAACAAGTCTGCACGGACTGCTGTGATCACAAATGGCTTCACTAAAGTGACAGGATTTGATACGTCTTGAAAGATGGTTATAATTTTAATATATGATAAAGAGACAGGTAATATTCCACAGGTCATGCGTGACGGACCATAACATCACAGCAATCGGGACTCACCAATCTTTCATCCTTAGTCTTTGCTTTCTTTGGATTAAAAGATACAAAGATGCTAATAGTCATGCCGAGGTAAATTATAAAACTTCTCTCCCTATTACCCCTCTCCTTTCTTCACCCATCCAAATTTTTTAAATGGACATACATTGCATTTTTTAAAAAGGCTAAATTTATGTCACCAA